TTTTTATGTTAGTTCAAGGGGGGTACCTACTTTTGTCCAGTACTGTACTTCGATTGACTCTAAAAGAAAATTTCATATTTGAATTAAAAAATTCTTCCTTATCAATTTTACCTTCCAAATATTAGTTTTTTTTCTTCTATAACTTTATCTGTCTTTTTTCTTGTACAACCTAAATCATGTTTACCTTCAATTGATGCTGTCTGTCGATCAGTTTCAGGATAAAAAGAGTATTTGAGCATCAACTGTTGATACAGCAAGCTGTTTTCCATCATGGCGTAAAGCACAACATAATGCTAAAGATAAAATATTGAATAAAAATTTTCAGAAAAAATTTTCGTGATTTCAAACCATCAGTTGATAAAAGAAATGTTTCTCTTGAACTTTGACTAACAAATACACTCCATGATCGTAATGTTTTATTCCATGAACAAATTGCTAATGCTGTTTCAGTAGTATATTTTGAGCAAATGCTAATGCACTAATTGGACCTTCTTGTTCACTAAGAATCTAAATTAAAAAAAAAGTTTTTCTTCTGTTTATATATAAATAAAAAATTTACACATCAAGTAATTTTTCATTTTTAATTGATGAAAAAAAAAATATTAAATATATTAAAACCATCGACACATACAACTTCACCGGCAGCATCCAATGCAATACATGAAAATTATACTGATGTTGGAGATGTATACGTTCGAAAATTTCAATACCTTAAAAAAAGAAAACTCTTCATAAGATCTAAGGAAATTTACAGACATTTAGAGATAGATTCGACCTTTACACTATTTATTCTAAGGGTGTTTATGACCGGAAGAAGATATCTGAACTCAATTCGCGACAATTCTTTTTCCCTTTCAGATCTCATAGTCTAACCTCAAAAAGATCAAAAGTACGAACAGTTCCATCAAATGAACTTGATACAATAAATTGTCCATTGGATACAAATTCAAGACCAGTTGCTGTAGATGCATGTTTAGAAAATATGACAAAACAAAAGCCATTCGATGTATTCCATAATTTGATCTAGATTGAAAATTTTCGAATATTTGTTTTTAGAAACAAATTTAGTAAACTGTTTCATCATCATCACCACCACTGACTATATGTATTCCATCCGATAAATAAGCTAATTGAGTCATATTATTAAAATGTCCTTGTTGTTTAAGTACATATGTTTGACTTTGCCATTCTTATACAACAAGTTGACCAAGATTTTGACAAACTAATGCAATCCAATCACCTAATGGACTGAATAATACTGATGCTATCATTTGTTTTTGATCGTCAATACTATATTATAAACAGAATGTTGAATATTTTTAAAACAGAAAAGAATATATTCAAACCTTAAAGAATGAATAATATTAAAATTAGGCATTTCATGAAGATAAAAATGTCCATTTGAAAATCCTGCTACTAACATGTGTTTTTTGATGGTCAGCACAAAGAAGTAAAGCACCATGATCAGCACCTTCAAATGTTTCTTTATAGTTAAATCTATAGAATAGAATAAAAGCAATTTTTTTTTAACAAAAAATTGATTTATTTTTTTATTTTACTTATTTATTCGTTTGAAAACGACCATATCATCTTTAGTTCGATTTTTCATAAGATATTCATCTAAACGTTTTTGTTTTTTGCTAAAAGTTTAATTCGTTCTGGTTCAACAACATCATCCAATTCTTCATTATCATTATCATCATCATTTCTATCAACATGACCATTTGATGATGTCGGAATTTCTTGATCATCATTTTCACCAGGTATATATGGTATTGATTCCATAGATGCTAAATCCATATCAGCACCCAATAATTGACTTTTGCATTTTTACAAATAGTCATTATCTATATTAGAAGAAAAACAATATCATTTGAAAAATAAAGACAATTATGGATGTACATTCAATGAATCTTGTTCAAAACAAGCGCCGACTATTTCACAAACATGACTGACTAATATAAATCGATGTAATTTATCTAGTAAAGGGACACTAAATATTTGAGTTATCATATCTGCACTAATAATAGCCAGAACACTATGAAACAAAAATGATTTCCTTTGGTTTTATTTTTATGAAAGAAAAATATAACATACAGAAAATCACTTGTCCAATTGATAAATATTGTTTTATCATGAAATGAGCGAAGAATACATTTTAATGTAAACAAATTGAATTGACGATCAGTACTGGGACAAGTATAGAATTCATATCGATTACTACGACAAACAGCTACAGATCTATAATATAAAAGTTTTTCTTATGTCAAAAACTTATTGGTAAAAATTAAAGCTTGTTTTAATCTTAAATAAAACTTTCATTGACAATTCATCTACATTATTAAAATAAATTCGAAACGGACAAATAATATTAGTTACTTCTTTATTAAAAGATTTTTTTAAGTATTATGAAACAGATTTATAATATCTAAATCGTCAATATTATATTTACTTGGAATCAGGACTGAATTTGATTGTACGCACATCATGCCCAAAACGATGAATACCAATCAATGTACGACATTTGACATTATATAAATATCCTCGACCAACTATGAAAAAATACATGAAAGATTTTGAAATTAAAATAATCTAACTCTTACTCTCGTTAATAATAAGTAAAAGTGCATCATTAGATGAGAGAGTTGAACAAATAGTATTAAATTCACTTTCAAATGATAATGTTTCTGATCGACCACTAAAATAAAATATTGATTTTGATCAACAATGAATCATATACAATATATTTTTAAATCAATCACATTCACTCGATTACCAACTGATGTGATAAGGGCATTTCTATCTGGTATAAAGAGAAGATTACTCTTGTGATAGACAGTAACAAGACGAGTTGAGAATTAAAATATAAATAATGAAAGAGAAACAATTGAAAAACAAAGCAAATATCTTTTTCTTTATAATAATATAACTTCATTTCAATTAGAATTATTGCAC